ATTGGAGGTTGTTCATGAATTTGTGTACCTTCGCTCAACAATCTCTGACACTCTCTCCCTAGATGTTGAGCTGGATAAACCCATTGGCAAAGCAGATCCCATGTTCTCAAGATGCACAAAGAGAGTATGGCTCAATAAGAAGCTGACGGTATACACCAAGATCCAGGTCTATAGAGCCTGTGTCCTGAGCACACTCTTGTACTGCAACGAGTCCTGGACCCTCTGTGCATGGCAGGAGAGGAAGCTGAACACCTTCCATATGTGTTGTCTCCGACGGATTTTTGGTATCACCTGGTAGGACAAAGTTCCAAATAGAGTAGTCCTAGATCGAGCTGGCATTTTTAGCATGCATACATTACTGAAACAGTGATGTCTATGTTGGCTTGGGCATGTCATGAGAATGGCTGATGGTCGGATTCCAAAATATATCCTGTATGGAGAATTAGGGCAGGGAAATCGGCCCAGAGGGAGACCACAGCTGAGATACAAGGATATCTGCAAGCAGGATCTGAAGGCCTTGGAAATGGACCTCAACAGATGGGAAACCCTGACATCTGAGTGTTCAGCCTGGAGGCAGGCATTGGATCACGGCCTCTCCCAATTTGACGAGATCCTTGTCCAGCAGGCTGAGGCAAAGAGGCAGTCACGAAAGCAGCAGAATCAGGGCGCTAGATGGGGTACAGATTGTACGTGTCTTCAGTGTGGAAGGGATCATCACTCTTGAGTTGGCCTTCTCAGCCACACTAGATGCTGTTCCAAGTCCTCCATAGAGAGCACGATACCATAGTCTCTCGAGACTGAGGGATGCCCAATCTAAAACAAAATCTGAAAATGTATGGCTGTGAAGACTGAACAGTAAATAAAACTGACAGGAAAACAATTGATTAAGGTGAAATATAGTGTTGGAGACAGCTTTATGGGTACCCTTGACTGCTGGGAAGACAAGTGAATCCTACAAATCTGAACTCTCTGGAGGCAAAAATGATGAAATGGAGACTGTTGTACTTTGGGAATATCATGAGAAGGCAAGATTCTGTGGAAAAGACAGTAATGCTGAGAGAGGTTGAAGGCAGCTGGAAAAGAGGAAGACCAAATATGAGATGGATTGATTCCCTAAAAGCTTGAGGGAATTACAATTACAATAGCTGAACAGGGCTGTTGAGAGAGCAGTCATTCATAGGGTCACCATAAATGGGAGGTGACTTGACAACACAACAACAAAAACATCTGCATGCTGCACCAGAACAGAAACAAATTGAAGCAGAGAGTTCAGGAGTAAATAAATAAGCAAGGGTCATATGACTGAATGGGCTAAGATTTTGTCTGGCACTGTGAATGTTTGATGATGGCTTGATTCTTCACATGAAAAATTTAGAACTCAGGCAGAGTTGACCTCAAACTGACTGAACCTCATGTGCTTTTTTAGCTGCATTCTTCATGGGTTGACTAGCCGCCTGCCTCTAGATGCCCTCTTCTTACAGTATCCTGATTAGGCTTGAGACAGAGTGACTGTTTGCCTTTTCCTGTGATCAGCATAGGGCAAATGTTTGCTTGTTCCTTCTTACGTTGACTGATTACTCAAGAGATTAGTATGACACTGCTCTATTTCGAGTATATTTTTCTTTGAGTGTTTGTGCTTTGCAAATAGTGGATTGTTGTTTTTTTAAATAAAAAAATATCAAATATCCCTTGCACTTCTTTTCTTCCACCTGCCATGAGTCTGGGATGAGTGGTTATTTTGGTTTTTTTGTGCCTTACATTTTGTAAACATTTTGTTTGTCATCATTGAGCCAGAACAGAGTGAAATAGCTTGTTTCCCCTGTTTTCAGAATGTTGCTGCATCAGAAGACATTACATATAGTATCTGTTCTCAAAAGGAAAATATGATTCCTTAAAGCAGCTAGTAGTAGAGACATGACTCTCACTCTCCTTTTAAAACCTGAAGCAAGGATAGTCTATTTCCATGGGAGAAGTAGCTTCTGCTTCTATTTCTTTGGAGACAACAGGGCTGAGGGTAGGTATTTAAAAAAAGATTTTTTCTGGGTGTTGCTGGCTATTAGTTATTCATCTGTTATAAGTTAAATTGATCCCAGGTTTTTGATTCCTCAAATGTTTAATTTCAAGCTTCTTTGGCAGTGCTTTTGCAAATCATTCTACAGGGCAGTATTTGTGGTGGCATGTACAGTTACTGTTTAGGAAATAGCTTCATTTCCCAGATACAAAATATTGCATTTATGAGTGCTGAGAAAATGTGACATCTTTATAATAATACAGTAGTAACTAGCCAAAGAAGATGTGTGGACTGTGCATGTATAATTGGCAACTAATTTGTATTTACAGAGCAAAGCATTATTCAGCAAAGTTCTTTTACATATACCACAGACCAACCCAAATATCCTTTTACAAAGATCTATTCTCTAACTCTGTTGTTTAGCCAGACCTAACAGAAAGGCCTGTCATTTATAAAAGAAACTACCAGTAGGCAGAGATGCCCAAGAGTTTTATGTAACTTATGAAAGCATGCTCAAACTACTCTGATGCAGAGTTTGTACAAGGTACCGTATTTTTCGCTCCATAAGACGCACAGACTTTCCACCCCCCCGTTTTGTGGGAAAAAAGTGAGTCTTATGGTGCGAAAAATACGGTACTTTATTAGAGTACAGTTCTCATAATTGCTCAGTGTAGATGGTCATGGTTTTTCCTTTAAAAATGACTTGTCCAAGTTTTACATTATTTCAGACAGAAAGCACAATGTTCTTTCCCCATCCTTGACAGTTGTTCTCTATAAATAAATAAATAAATATTAAAACAGATCACCTTGTTGGTGTCCAAAATGGAATAAGAACTGCTGGATAGCTCAGTGTTTTAGGCACCTGGTTGTGGAGCCAGAGGTTGTGAGTTCGATTCTCCACTGGGCCTCCCTGACAGGCGCTGGACTCGGCGATCCATAGGGTCCCTTCCAGCTCTGCAGTTCTAATATGACGGTGATGAAGAAGTGAGATACAGCGTTATTGACACTATCATTTAATGTTTGAGAACTGTGAAAATCAGTTGGAGCCTAAAGAAAAGAAACAACAACCACCATATTCATAGTCCTGCATTGCTATGTATTTTTCTTTCCAACAAATGCTTTGACACGTGTAATATTAAAAATCAAGGTAGATGTATAAATAAAATTCATAGTGTGATAATTATACATATCCTAACAGCATACCATTGTGCTTATGGAAGATCTGTGTATGCTTACTTGGAAACGAAAATGTACATATATTTAAATTTTGATGCTCCGAGTCATCTCTGCGTCTAGGGTTTCTGTCAAAATATTCAAAAGAGGCTGAGGGGCCTCTAGATGTTTTAGGAAGGATGTCACCGCTTCTAGTAACAGTGATAAAACCCTGATAATTTCAGGTTTAAAACCCTGATAATTTTGATACCTTCTGTTAGTTTCATGAGCAATGAAAAGGACACAGTCCTTTAATGCAGTATTAGTTAATATTTGTGACTCACTGTCTACATAATCCAAAGGCAGGGTTGGTTATTGACCACTCAAAAATTACAACCAAAAATGCCAACCCCATACAGAAAGAAAGTTCCAAAAATCATGCCCAAATGTGCACACCATGCTCCTTGGCCTTCAAAATGGGTGCTGCAGACTGGGGTCAGAAGTATAGCTTATCCTTAGAATGCCATAAAAGCAGCACCTTTAAGGGCATTCTACTCAAAAAACGACAGCTCCTATTAGTTGCTGCCATTTGAATTGTGACCCATAGTTCCCTGCTTGCTCTAAAATCTCCTACAATGTTGGTATATTCTGGGCATTTTGAAATAGCTGCTGGATGCTTTCTCCTCCAGAATGGCTGCTGCAGTTTAACATCTGAAGCACTGTGTGAAAATACAGTAGCTGTTAGCTGGCAGTTGTGGAAAGGTGTTTCAGTACAACCAGAAGAAACTTTTATTGCCTACCCCTGTAATTCTCTAGCTTAATGAAGTGCCCCAATATCATTAAGCCACATATGGAGTGAGAAAGTGAGGAGGGCTTACTGTAGCCTTGTGTGATGTTTTTGTTTTTGTATGCTTAGGCAAAGAGTTGTTATTGTATATATATTATATATGACATTATTTAATGCAATAACTATTAATAAAAGAAGCCACTGGCAATGGTGCGGCTAATAAATAAATAAATAAATAAATAGATAAATAGATAAATAGATAAATAGATAAATAGATAAATAAATAAATAAATAAATAAATAAATAAAAAT